CTTATATTAAGGAAATTTGTTTTCCCAGAAATACCTTAATCTGAACTAACGCATTTTCACTTAGACATCTAAAAGTGCTCCAAATACTAGTAGCATGAAAACTCATAGAACTAAAGTCACTTTACAGTAACTTTTGGCATATGATGCTTTGTTCAAGCATCATGGACGTGGCTTCGGCTTTTAAATGGAAATGTTTAATCAACAGCAGAGGGAGCTGTTTGGGATCACTTAGCCCCCTCTCACCCTCTTGCCTGCTTATTGGCCATTTCATTACTAATTAAAAGCCTCATTGAAAGGAAGGCAGAGCACAAGAAAACAGGCAAAATTCAAATGGTCTAATTGTAAACTCTTAAGAGGTCTGTTAGTAAATTTATTCAGGAAGAAAGAGATTGAGAACTGCAATCCTGGCTAGAGCAACATCTTTTTAGTTGAATTGAGGAATTTGTTTATCAGTATGGTCCCTGCTTCCTGAGTATATGGTACATAGAGAATTGAAAGGAAAGAATAATTCACTTTTTGATTCCCAAAATTAGCTACCAGAGAAAAGCCATAGCAATAACACAAAGCAAAGCCAGTGACCTAATAATGTGCAGCTGACTAAGCTCCAGGGTAATGAAAACACCTCTTATTAACGGCGCTTTTGCACCAATTGATGCAGCTCCTACATTGTCATATGGTCGATGTTACCAACCAGCCGAACGCTGATGGTTAAGGTGGAAAATAAAGAGAGCTATATGTGGTAGGTCCTCAAATAGTGACATTTTGTTATAACGTTGATGAGATGCCATAAAAACTTAACTCTTGTTTATATCAATTAGCCTATGGCAAAATTGGTTTTCTTATGCTTCATTTCGTCACAGTTCTCAGAACCTATCAATGACACTGAGGACTCGCTGTATATACAGTAATTAGGAGGAGTACCACCATTGAAAGGATTGTTGACTCTGGATGTTTTAAATAATAATTAGCAGACAAGGAAAATTGGAAAACTAAAAAGAATGAGAAAAATGTGCAGTTTGGCTCTTAACCAGATTAAAAGTGTTAGTGAAGATGAGTGAGAAACAAGTTTCTTAAATCCTACACCAAGATATCCACCTGCTCTTTTAGAACCAGATCAAGTATCCCTTAAATTTGAATATCATTGAAGAGGCGACCACCCTAAGATCCTGGCATTGCTTATCACTAGCAGTTGTTTTGTTGTCACTTGAACCAGGCTATTTTTAGAGGGTTCAGGGCTTTTCATTGTGTTTCTGTTTTGCTTTTCTTGTGTTTCTCTGTGTGCTGATGTATTATCCTCCGTTGTGCAGAGATGTGGGAATAGCATAAAGTGTCAAATAATCCACTGACAAAAAAGATCACTTCTTTGAACCTCTTGCTTGCACCAAGCATGATGCTGTTTCTTTGATCTTCTTGGCTTCAAAACAAATTAGACCAAGGGCCAAGTTTCATAGGCAGATGTTTTGGGTTGCTGGTTTGAGTTGTATAAGATCTAAGACTGAAAAATGAGGCATACTAACATATTTATGGTTCTTCCCTTAGGGTATAATCACCAACAGATGAGTGAAGGACAAAGGCAGAAATCTTCTGAATTTTACAACCGCACAGCATCTGAATCAAATGTCTACTTAAACAGTTTCCACTACCCAGACCACGGCTACAAGGAGCAGGCCTTTGATACGTTGAGCCTAGACAGCTCTGACAGCATGGAGACCAGCATCTCTGCTTGCTCACCTGATAATATCTCTAGGTAAGATTTATTTGTCGGTGAGGTTTCTGGTTTGGAGAAGCACCTGCTGGTTTCAAAAACTAAAGGCATCAATTTGGGGGAATGTCTATGTGCAAGCCCAAATTTCTGAAGACATAAAGAGTCTCTAATATAGAAGAAGGTTGGGTGTCATGGTGGCCTCGGAACATCATGTCTTTGAATCCTGTGTGACTTAGCCAGTCAGACATCACATAATCCATTTTTCTCCTTTCTTTCTTCACATTTGAGTCCACCTGTATACTGTGCTTCAAAATTGATTTGCTTCTGTTGGTTGACTCCAAGCTCCATTAGGACTGTTTTTGATGAAATTAAGAATTTCCAACAATAGAGTAAGAACTTTGAAGGATTTCTTACCCTTGTGTTTCATTAAAAGGGAGGCGTTAACTGTTCTGCATATTATAATTTTTGTAAGGGTTTAACCATTCACAGTTGTCTTCATATTTTGATGCAAGCAAAAGTGGTTTTATGGAATAATGGCTAAAGGCACATCTAAAACATAGGTCTAGTCATGGTACTCCTTCTCTTCAAAAGCTTTGACAGTGCACTGCTACCTTTTGAATTAAGTCAGACCCCAGATCGTGGCATTCTAGATCCAGCCCAACTCCCCGTTCTTTCTCTCCTCCTGATACATCTTACAGAGCTTCTTATTAACTGACAGGGCTATGAATTTTCAGATCTCTGTGCCTTTGATCATATTGTTCCCAGCCCAGGAATTGTGTAGTTTGTTCATTCATTCATTTATAGGCTCCTTCATCCCACAAACACTTATAGAATGCTTTACCATCAGTGGTGGGCTGGAGTGGGCTCATACTGGCTGGCAAGTACCAAATGTGCACAATGTCTCCTAACTCGGTGATCAGTGATGTCATGTTGGTAGTTTGAAATTGGCCATAGTGGGAGTATGTGTTCCACATAAATCGACATTTACTACATGTCAGGGTTTTTGTTTTCCTCCAGAGAGCTGGTTTTACCCCCATCCCTGTCTACAGCCAATTCATTCTTTCATTTGATTATTCACTCTACCTGTGCTTACTGAGCACTGATAGAATCCGGCATTACAAAATATCTATTCCATCCCCATCTCCTTCCCATCTGGGCCGCTCCTCTCATCCTTCAAGCTCAAACTTAGGTTGGAAACTCATGAAAATTTCTCCCTTTAGGGCCTGTTTCTTCTGCCTTTCCATGCACTTGATTTTTTTTCCTATTATATTACTTGTCACATTGCAGTAAAAATTTTTGTCTTTAATAACTAGTTGGTGAATTCTTCAGTGTCAAAAAGAATGTCTATCTTTTGGTTTCCACACTCAATAAAGACTTTGGCATATCATAGACATTCAATAGCTGTTGGCTGAATAAATATCTCAGGATATAGGAAAATGGATATATTTTCAATTTTGATACTTTTCTGTATTTGATCTATTACAATTGGCTGAGAACCCTTATGGTTTCAACCCAAGAAATATCCAATATTCAATAAATGTTAATCGAGCACTTGTGTGTCTTAACTGAAAATGTCTAGTTAGATAATTGCCAGGAAGCAAACTTCCCTGTGTTGGAATGAAGCCACAGGCTGAGCAGGAATACTTGAGCTCCTTGAACTTGACCTGACAACTGATTGTGCTACTTGAAGCAGATCTCAGAATTCTCTTGGTCCTGATTTGCTAGTCTGTGAAATGAAAGGATTGTTTCTTGAATACAAGGGGATGACGGATTTTAAATATATTTTAATCAAAAATTACCATCATGTAAATATCATTTCTTTCTTTACAAAGTTTTGAATAATTTGTTCTCCCCCTAAAAAAATGAGTGACAGTAACAGAGGGAAAGCAATATCAGCAAGGTATGCTTAGCTTTGAATTAGCTAGTGTGTCATAAATGAAAAGAATATGAGAGACCCAAATGTAACCAGATAATATAGCCAGGAAATTTGGGGGGTAGCAAAAAGAAGAAAGGGTTAGATGCTACATACTGTGGTAAATAGAATACAGTGTATTTTAATTCTGGCATTAATGGGTAAATTATTAATATTACTAGATTTATCCTATCAGAGAAGGAAAGGAGTTCCTTGGGGGTCAGAGGGTAGGGGACATAAAAGCAACCATGAGAATTGTATTACTGCTTATCACATGGGAATGACCTAAATTGAAGGAGGGATTATGTAATAATAAACCATAAAGATGTTTTTTTTGGCTGCCATTATTATTTAATGTTAGAAGGTATAGTATTTCACTTTATTCGATATTAGAAGATGCAGTATCTCACTTTTAAAAAAATGTAATATGACTATTTTGAGTAAGACACTGGAGTGTGTGGAACAGTTGGGCATCGAACCATCTCTCACCCTGAATGCACTGTGGTAATGCCCACTGCTCTGAGGAGGGTGTCAGTGGGTGCCGGGAGCTGACCTACTCAGGATGGAACTCCTAGAACTTTGAGTAATTATTCATAAATGACTATTGTCCAGTGTAAACTAACTCAGTGTGGTATTTTTGAATAACAAGGCACAAACAAAAATCAGCAACTCAGCAACTGTTATATAATGATGATGGGGGAATAAAAGTTAACATTAAAAGAGAAAACATAAAATGCAGCAGTTTAGTTTGCCATTGAAGTAATCTCAGAGGGACTTCCCACATTTCTATGGTACATTTTTACTTAGTCGTTATTTTGAAAATGTCAGACTACTTCCCCTCTTCCGTAATAATTGTGAACATGTTATAACAATAGTCCTATGGTGAACTCTTGATAGCTTGACCTTTTTTTTCCTTTCTATTTTTGAGCCATCTTTAAAAAATAAATAGACTCTTAAGGCTTTTTCTAACTTGGTGTTTTTATTCTTCCATTTTCCACTCCTCACCTCTTCTCCCCCTCCAAAAGTTAGAAGTAAATAGGCATCCCTCCAAATCATCACTCCCCCTACCCCATCTCTCATATTTAATGGTGGTGAACAACAGCAATCAGCAGAAAATACAGGAAATTACCTAAAAAGGGACCACTTAAATTATATTTACCAAGCATTAGAAGTTTGGATCTGAACACTTAAGTACAGTGACCAGCAAAAACTTAATTTGTTTTTATGTGCTCTTAGCCACTTTTTCTTGGAATGGTTTCCACGGGTAAAAAATGAATGGTTCCACTGAACATCCCACATTCAGAAAACAGCATGATTGCAGAGTGATCATTCCTGGCAGATTGTTATGTGGGCCATGGTCATTTTGCATAGTTACTTCACACAGTACCGACCTGATGGTGCTAGCAATTGTGGATAATTAATCACCACAGTTAGAAATTACTCACTGTATTTATTTCATTGTGCTGTCAGATCCTCTGAATTCAAAAACTTGAAGCCAAAGTCTAATATGCCTGTAAATGGTCTAGTTTGAAAGGGAAAGAGTAAAAAAGAAGCATTTCTCTTCTGTGCCACCACCTACCTTTAAAAAAAAAATCATGCTACCCTAAGATAAGCTTGTACCCATTATTATAATGAAAAATAATATGGTGAATATCAGGAAAGTGGGTAATAAGGAACTAAAATTTAAAATGTGTATTATAACAATACATCCTTAATGGGAACTTTGTGAAGCTAGGTCAAAAGAGAAGTAAAGGAAGGAAAATTTTCTCTTTTTAAGACTTTTTAAAATTACATATTAAAATACCCTGAAATTATACATATTTTAAAGAAGTAATTCCATGCCAAAATTCTAGTGACATAAACTTAGTCTTGTGGTTTATCATGTCACAAAAAGCCATTTGTAGAATTACAAAATTACTCAGAATTGTGGGTATGTTTGCCCTTCACTTTTTGTTGAGACATCATTTTTATGTCTACCAGAAAGTTATTTGAGCCAGACAATGTTTTCGCTTTTTCAGCATTAGTACTTACACTGTAAACAAACATAAAGCTAAGAAAACAGGTCTTGGGTCTTAGAAAGCAGTAACTGAAAGTCAATTCTGCATAAAGTCTCTATTCTGCTAGAATTACTGAATTGGCTGATAGACTATAGTGTGCTGAATACCACCTACAATGACACATTATTATTACTATTGCTATTAATTAACTTGCTAGTCCTGATCTTGTGCTCATATTTTGAGAAAATGTTGAGGAAGCATGATAGCTCAAATACCAGCAGCATGCCTGTAGAGGAGGAAATAAGACTGGGTATGGGGTTGAGAGCAATCCATGGCTAAACTTGGTATTAAAAGGTACTTTAAACAGAATTTCAAGTGCTTCTAATCCCTTCATTTTAGGCAAAGGTTTATATTCTGCTTTCTACCCCAGATGGTGTTAACTAAAGAGGCTCAGGCTGTAAAAAACAACAAAAAACATTTATTTGAACAAAAAAGGTTACAACCTGGAGGGCACAGATTTAGGCAGCAAACTAAATTGTGTTACACAGAAAACAAAGAACAGCAGGGTTTTATAGAGGTGAAATTTACAAGTGTGACTCCCATTTTGGTTCTCCATGCAAATGAAGGATTCTGGCCAGTTTAGCTCCAATATGCAAATAGTGGAGTCGAAAACTACCAGGAGGAAGTAAAGTCCATATATGTCTATCCAGCAATTGTTTCAGGATGTTTATGGCTCAGCCTTGAGCTGAGTTTAGCAACAGGTTAGCAACTTAATAACAGTTCTGAGAACTGAGGTAGAAGGAGTGCATAGGCCTCACTTTCTTGATGGCCTCCTGACTCTATTTTAGGTGACTCTTAGTAATGCTTGTTCTATTTTATTTTCTCCGTTATCAATGGTCAACACTCAGTGTATGCGTTTTATTCTAGAGAGTGCTCTCAGAAAAGATACAGAAAGACCACATGATTTCAGAGGGGACAACCAACTATCAAAGGGACCAGATATGTCAGATCATGTGGAAAATGGTTGAGGAGGAATTGTTAGAGAAGAGAGGACATGTTGTGTTCTTCTAATATTCAAGGAGCTATTAAATAGAGAAATATTAGACATTTTATAGGGGGCAGTAATTTGCGTTAGTTGAAAAAATGCTGGTGAAGATTAACTGAAAATAAATATTCTGTGTCACTGGCTCTTCATTTAGTAGTAATATTGGTGCACTGAAGGCAGTCCTGGAAAAATATTATAGGTCTTTATGGAGAATTTTGTTTTGCTCCATGTTTTGGTTTTTGCTTACTTATTTCTTGTATCACCGTGTTCTTGTTTGCTTTCCTTTCTTTCTTTTTCTGTGTTCGCCTTGCCTCTAACATAAATATTGAAAAGAAAATTCAAATTTTGTTAAAAGATAATATTATTCAGCCTTGAAAACCTTAAATCTGCTATTTAGATTCCTTTACCGTGATATGTTTTTGTTTTGTTTTTTTATTTGTTTTTTATGAATATGGTTTTTACCAAAGTTGGTCAAATACAAAAGAAATCTTCAGTTGGTAAAATAGCAGACTATTACTAAGTAGAGAAAGCAGGCAAAACTAGCCATCTTTATATCATACTGGCCCAATGACCCAGTATCATCAGCATTCTTATAGCAATAACTTACAAGATCAGAAATTTGTTCCAGCCTTATGAAAAAGGTCAGGAATTGGAGCAATGGAAAGAAGTATTACTCCTCTTGTAATGTGGATGGGCTTGAGCAAACAGTGATGAGTGTCACGTGATACAGGTAATGCATTTAAAAGCATTTCTTCAGTGACTTCAGACTCTCACTTTGCATAGGAGGTGCTAGGCCAAATGGCATTCCTTTCGTTGATGTTTTCACATGCCATGGTATTGATAAGCCTAGACTTCTCCCTAAATTCCTATCACATTTGCATTTGCTTTTCACAGCAGGTGCAATTTTGACCCCAGAAAAAAGTATCAAATGGCGGCAGCATAGAGTCACAGAGCACCAAAAGTTTTGCTGAATAAATGTGGCTTAAATGTCAAGAAAATATTAAAAATCAACAATAGCCAAAGTGTGGCTATAGAGAACAAGTGTCTATGGATAAAGATTAATTAATTTTTTTAACAAAATAATCAAGGTAGCTTTTAAAGTATATAAAATATGGTTAAGTAGGTGACTTTAGGTGCCTAGACACATGAAGTCATGAAGTGGTCAATGTGAACAT